AAAAGATGGGGAATTCAAAAGACGTTTCTTCATCTAAATCGAGCTTTGATTTTTATGGGGTAGTGATGTTCTATATGAGATGAATTCAAAAATAACATTACTAATTGTAGCGGATAATAATTAAATCGTGTTAGTGTTAAATATGTACAACATGACCAGATATCTTCAGCTCGATTTCTTTAATACACTAGGGCTTGACATTTAGTCTGCACGACGCTATTAGCCCCCCGGTCTGTGAGAGACCCGTTAGACAGATAGATAGGGCAATGGGCCATTTTATGAGCCCGCAGCTGGAAAGAAAGCCCATTCTCTAGGTTGGGCAAAATTTTAAGAGAAATTTGAAAAATAGTCAAATGAAAAGATAAGCCCACAAGGTTGAACTCATTGAATAGTTTCCAATGACCCATTAGGGACAGCCCGTGGGCTTCCCCTCCACCCATTTTGTTGGCCAGCTAACAGCCCAACATCTGGTTGGGCATGGGACCACGGGCCATTGACTGCAGTACCTGATCAGCCCGGCCGAATACCTACCATTAGTTTAACCTATGAGACCAGATGGAATGATTTTGGATGGGTGGCGTTGAAATCCCGAAGCTTCCACCACAGCAATTACCGGTGCGCTTGGGGGCTGCTTGAATGGTCTTTATTTGGATAGTGGATTGTATTTAGTGAAAATTGTGGCTGACTTTTTTTTGAATAGACATATAATGATTTGAGTCTGTCAAAAATAATTTATTTGATGATAAGTTCGTTTTTTATTTTACTAATAAATACTTAAGTTTACTATTTGAAATTCAAATTTATGTCTCTCTCTCTCTCTCTCTCTTGTTAGAAGAAGATTAGCTCTCTAGTACAACAAACTTTTCTTCTTAAATATCATTTCTTCCTCCATAGCATCAAAATCAATGGGGTTTGGTACATCATCAACAACTATCATATATTCTATTGCTCTCTAGTCATAATGAACTTCTATGTTGTTAGTTTTTCGAAAAAAATGTTGAAAAACTTGTTCAATGTGTTATTACTTTGGTCTCCATTTTTTTTATATTTTTTTTATAAATAATTCCTAAAATTTTTCTATGTTTCATGTTACTACGTTTTTTGTTGATTATGTTACTATTTTTTTTCATGCTACTATTTTTTATTGAGTATGTTATTACTTTTTCAGTATTACTTTTTTGAATGTTGAAAAATTTGAGACTTCTTCATCTAGTTATGAGTTTGAATCTACTATTTTTTTTTTCAATTTTGTTCAATGTTCCATATTACTATTTTTTTTTGTTGAACATTATACTGTTTTTATTAAGCATATTACTATTTTTGTTGAACATGTTACTATTGTTATTTTTTAAAAATATTAATATTGAATGTTACTATTTTTTTATGTTTAAATGTTACTATTTTTTGTATTTAAATAATATTATTTTTTGTATTTAAATGATAACTTTTTTTTATATTTGAATGTTACTATTTTATATTTTTAATGTTACTCTCTCTCTCTCTCTCTCTCTCTCTCTCTCTCTCTCACTCGCTCTCTCTCTCTTATATATATATATATATATATATCTTTGTGTATATGTGTGAGTGTGGAGAGAGAAAAAAAATTTAATGTTAGTCAAACTTTTAATTTAGTATTTTTTAATTTTTAGTTTTATTTTACTTCTAAAGGAAATGGATAGTCTGCTAAAATTGATAAAAAATGGACTTCATAATAAATAAGTTTACTGGGATCCAAACAAGTCCATATAGGGGAACCGGCCTCCAAATTTCCTTTATATTTATCAACCTCTTTCAAACCAAAACCCAAGATTTTGTACATGGGTTGAAATAATTTATCCTACCCACTCTTAGTAAGTGTCATAAATATATGTAAGACCCACGAATTCATGTCAAATTATATACAAAAATTATTTTTTGTTACTAGATTGACTAAAATGTTCATTGTAAGGAGAATAAAAGATTGAATTTTTAGATAGAATAGTATTTTTATTTATAAGTCTAATATCTTATAGGTGCAAGGTACATTATTTTTTATGAGACGCAATACGATAGGAGTATGCTTGGCCGGTACGCTAATTCGGATCGCGATTCATTTTAAAATCTTATTTGATTCGTTTATACTATTGTAAGAAATTATATATATATATTGTTATCTATACTCACGTAGTGAGTTAATATTTAAGTGATAGTTTTCAATATTATTTTAATTATATGCATATACCCATAATTAATTAATATATATTTTGTATAACCAAAGCGAATCAAGATTCAATTCTCATAACAATATACCATTGAAACATAATGGTTGCATATTTGTATTACGAGAAAAATCAAGTCACAACAAATGTAAATTTAAAGATCATTAAAACAAAAAATTAAAGTACCAGATAGCAATTAAGTTGCTTCTTATTTGAACAAATAATTAAAATAAAAATCTTAAACAATTAACAGACTTTAAAATAAAATAACTCAATAGTAAAAAAAAATCACAATCACAATGTTTTTCAACTTTTTTCTCTTTATCTTTTGCAGTATTCCCTCCTCTTACAAAATTGAATATTTGAGTCTAATGGAATTCAATACGTCGAAGTAATGGCCTACTAGAACCAGGAGGTGGACTTGTAGTAGAAATGCATATAGAAGCATGTAAGTATGTCCTGTCACAGTCTTCCCCGGTTGACAGAAAAATCAAAATAGTCATCCTCTTAGGATTTTCACCGCTAGTCCTCCAATCGAATAATGGAATCATCTATATAGATGTGCTTCAGAAAGATATTTCATTTTTTAAAAGGTCCATCTTTGCCACTTTTAAATCCAGGATTATAAGAAACAAAGTAAAAAGCGGAGAGTTCCATTTGGTAATAGTTCGACACAACTTTATCAATTTACTTATTTTTCAAGTCATACGAGCAAGCCTTCGCCCTCTATTTCCTCATTGGTCAACTATCGGCACCAATTACTCAATCTCATATTGGGGAAATGATTTGTTTCTGGAAGAGCATGCCATTGAGTTGACTTTGTAAATGAAAATAGTGGTGGTCTTCTCACCATCAGACCCTACGCCTAGAGACATAAACTATTCATTGTGATATTAATCAATCGAGTATATCAAGAGAAAAAAAAATTATTCTCCAGTTAAAGGGCCACCTAAAGATAGTGCGAAAAATTAATAGACTTAAATAGGGTTGACGCAAATTTGACTAAAAGATCCCACAAGAAATCTGTAAATCAACCCGCGTGATGATGAATGTGCCCATCGAACAATCCACGTGTAAAGGGACAAACCTCCTTAACTAAGGTCCGCAACCTATTAAAACACAAACGCTATATGTTTAACAAATTCTCCATACCAAATAATTTATTATATTCACCACCGTTAAATGTGTGTGACCCTTTTATTTTATGCTAGTGAATGCATTACATCATTTGACAAAGAAAATTTGGTAAGAAAAGCATTGCTCCTATTAGAATAATGGTTTTAGAGATGCACTGCCTATTGTACTAAACAATTAATTACATCCCATTCATTGAAAGTAACTAACCTCACCAAAAAAAAGAATAAAATTATGCTTTCCAAATTTATTTACCAAATATTTTACTAAATGATATGTCAAAATTTCATGCATTAAATATTTGGCGTAAGTTAATAGGACTCACTGATCCAATCACTCACACTGAAGGGCTTATGTAGAATCAGTTTTCTTTATAAGAAACTTCCAATCACTACACTAAACACTTCGGGGCTGTTTGTTTTGTGGGTGGGGGGTTGGGGCTTTGGAAGATGGGTTTTTTTTTTGGGGGGGTGGGGGGGATGGTAAACATTTGAAGTCTAGGTTATCAAGTCCAGTCCGCTTCAAGGCCTGGATCTAAATCCTAGATCATGGGTTTCATCAAACCCATGGGAGATGAGTTTCGAATGAGGGTTAATAATGAGTATTGACTACAAAAAGACAATTATACTCCCAAAACCCTATCAACACACCATTGCCTGGGAAATCCATTGTTACCATTAAGCCATGTGCATGTTGTTGCCAATGTGCAACTTTAACCTTTTTCTTATTTTCTATTATTGTTATTAATCAGAATATTCTAGTGTAACACAACATTGTAATTTTTAAAATATAGGTCAAAAATCCAAATATAAGCGTCAACTATTTTCTTCATTGTATATAATCTCTATTCGTCTGATATTCTTAGTCAAAAAGTAAACAATGCCCAGTTCCATATACACCCAGACTCGCCCCCACACTGATTAACCATCCATGTAAACATACACCAAACTGTTTTTTTCTTCTGATGCCAAGGGGAAACTGTACTAAATATCTTATCTGCCTTAGTAATTTGCCAATCCATCATCCATGGTAGACACATGATTGTTATTTGGGATATAATTATTTGTGATAATTTAACACGGATTATATTCTGATGTTGATTTAATGATTTCTATGAAGTCACATCATTATGTCAGCAAATTAAGTTAGATTTTTAAGTCCAAATAGTATTACCCTATTAATAATAGTTATCTTTTATCAAAATTCATGTTTTTTTTCATAAGTTAGGAAGAAAAAAATAATCAAATATGAAAATCATAAGGACACAAGAAAATGTATGTATACAAACATGGGTTTAGATTAGATTGATGAAGAGGCAAAATAGTCATTTATAGACAAATATATTATTATAATAGTAATATATCTATGAGCATACCAAACATAGATATGGACAGGATTAAATATTGAATCTCATCTTTGTAAAGAAGGGTTTGGGTTTGAAAGAGTTGAGACAACTCAATCCATACCCTCCAAAAAAAAAACCATCCAAACAACCCCTTGAGGTATTCTATGTTCTTGAAGTGATATGCTCTTCAAAGATCTTCAAGGAAGTTCCTAGGGGAATGGTAAGGTGACTTGGGAGTTCTTGCTCTATTTTGGGTTGTTCTGCCAAAACTTGGATTAAGATGGCATTTTAAAGCATCAAAATTTCAATCCTTCCCTTGCTCTTCAACCAACAGCATGTGTATGACGAGAATTTCTCTTGTTGGCAAATTCATCTAGCTCGTTGACAAAGAAACAATACTGGCACCTGCAGATTGTACAAAACTTGGGCTAAGAATGTTCTAATTCTCACTCTATAATGGAGCCAATTGTATCCACAAAAAATATGTTGCCATACCTTGGGAAATCCATGACAATTTCCGCATCTGGAGAGTTGTTAAGTAGGTCATCACAGTCGTAAATTGACTAGGTAGTTTTGAGGGAATATGTTTATCCAATTGTCTGAGCTTCAAAGTCTTCAAATTGTCGAATGGTGAAGATTCATGCTCTAGTAAACTAGGAAACATGGAGAGAAGCTTGATACAATAACGAAAATGAGCATTAAAATCCAAAACAAATAAAAAAAACATCTAAACTTCTAGTTTGGATACCTTGTGCATTGACACAAGTAACTATTTATTGCATATGTTCAGTATTAGCTTCGTGCTCGAGAGAAGGCAAAAGAGGTCATTATATATGACCCAGTTCATTTTTTTTCTATTTCTTCATTTTGATGAAGAAAACAGTAGATGGTCTTTAATATGGTTCAACAGAAAAATTACAATGCACATATATGAATAACCCAGAAGTTCAGTAATTATAGAATTACATAAAATCTCTAAAGACAGTGTTAGAGCACAAACTGTTCTTTACAGTAAGCTAAATTGTTGGAATTACCCTAGTGAGGTGAATGGGGAATTGGGTAGTAGCACAACACATGAATCAAGTAGAAATTTTAGATTTGGTTTAATGTGTTTCTGATGTGTGAATGAATGAGGATTCAAACTTTATATTGCCTAACCTTTTTCTGATGCACAAACTGGACAAAAATGACATTTTTTTCGATCAAGCACAAAAAAAAAATGTAATTGTACCTCAATCGTGTCAAATGATAGAATGACAGATCTGGCTTTATGAAGGCAGTGTAGCATACTGATCAAATCTAAGGTGAGTTTTTTCTCTCTCACATCCGGAGTCCTTGGCAAATACACATGTAGATTAATAATCTGAGTATCTACAAGAGGAAGATCATTCTTGGACAGCATCAGAGGATGACAGGCGTCCAAGGTAAACAAAGTAAGTTTTGGGGCTAAAAGCGCAATTTTACACCCATTCTCCCTACCAGAACAGTATGAGATATTTAATCTGGCAAGTTGAGGAGCACATATAGTCAAAGTATCCAAATCGAAGGAACAATTAACTATAGTCAACTCCACCAATTTTGGACAACTTGAGAAAAGATCTGGTTTAATAAATGAAACCACTTTGAGATTTAAGATTGTGAGTTCTTCAAAATATAAAGGTTTTCTCAGAGATTGTGAATACCCAAAACTAATTTGAAGTTTCTTTAAGGAGTACGAGGAATATAAGTAGTTTGGGAAGCCACAATCTCCAATATCTTCAAAGTGGAAGTATAGGTTTTCCACATTGTGAGACTGGGTGAAATTGATGACTTTATTGAAAAGCCTCCAATTCATTGAGCCTCTACGACTGAAGTTGAAGTTGGTGAGCCTGACCGAGTGATCACGAAGAGTTAGAACGTGTTGAACAAAGCGGTTAAAAGATGAGAGTTTCTTGAAGGAAGTGCTATAGAAATTGAGAGAGGGGAGTGAAGTCCATAGGTACTTCCATCTTTTTGACAAAATGCATGTCTGGACTGCATGTTTGGTGTCGAGAGATGAAAGAATCTGACTTAGAATACCATCTGGTATCCTACTCAGCCTGTCATTTTTCAAAACCCTTGTTCTTTTCACCATCTTCTTCTTCTTCTTGGTTATGCTTTTGAGTTGTTGCACTAAATACTATTTTATGCATGCATACAATGAACTCTTCTACAAACCATTCCACTCTCCTTCCCCATAACCTTACCCATCCTTGAAGAACCCTCAAATCTCTCTCGCCCCCACTAACATACACGCACACAATCACTGGTTAGAAGAAACTTCCAACTCCAAAATCTATTACTTCCTTTTATATTCCTCTCTGACTTCCAAGACTCAATGGCTTGACACTTGACCCTAAGCTCTTGATACGGTCGTATATATAATGATATGAGGTGCGTGGGTTCATTGAAAGATCAAATTTTTATCCTAATCCGAATCTATTGAAGATGATACGGATTAATATTTTTTCTTACCAATAACCCAAATTCAAATTTGAATCTATTACATCTCATTTAATGGATTTGGAATTTGATATATCAATATTCGACCGGATTGTAATCCGATGTGAATAATATATTTGTATTTGTATGAATTTATCATGAAATTAAGTTATTATTTGATAAAATTTTATTAAAATTTAGATGTAATTTATAAAAAAGACCACTTAATTTAATTATTCAGATCGGATGAGATTATCGAATTTAATATTCAATTCTTAAACGGATTCGAATATAAATGGTGAAAGGCCTGGTGGGTCGGTTGATTCCGCAGGGTTGAAGGTGTTGGTTGGCAGTCGAGGGAGGGGAAGGGATGGGTTGACGGGGGTATTTGGACTGTTCTAGATACAAGGACCTTTAGAAACCTGTGGAAACTAATTAAGCTGCATAAGAAATACAAAGAGTCTCTAATTGGATTCCCAAACATTTAATAATTAATGAACTTCTTCAAAAGAAGTTAAAAGAGGTTTTTGAGTTTTGATCTTCCCAGGCATACGAGAGGAAGGTTGATGTTGCATTTCAAAATAAAACCAACTTAAACAATTTGTATGTCCCCTGCCGTCATTAACTTGTGTAATTTGTCTTCATGAACTAATTTTTAGTGTTAGTGAATTACTTTGTCCATATGAACATAAAGTGTTATATGTTCTTAGGGATGCTTGTATACGATATATGTAAAAGTACTATTATTGAAACTTAATTTATTGACTTAATTCACTATAGTCATTAGAATGGCTCGTGAAGCATAGACATGAGCTGATTGGCAAAGTCCAAGGATAATGACCTTACTTTGCTTATTTTTGTTTTTGTCTTTTTATGATGTTGAGTTGTACATATACAGTTTGAGAATATTAGTATCTCGATTAAGGATGGCAATTGTGCATGTCATGTTCAGGTTGTGTCATGCCAAGTTTGAGTTGAAAACACATCAACTCAAACACGACCTGTGAGTTAAACGGGTTAAGTCATTTGGACACGGACACGAACACGACCAAACTTGAAACACGACTAACCCCAGACGACCTGTGACCCAAGATTTACACAGGTCGTGTTCGGATAAACACGACCCAACCCGCCTAACATGATCCAACCAACACGACCCAACCTGACATGACCTAACACAAAAAAGAAAAATTTAGACCTGTTTTACATAAAACAAAGGCATTAAAAACATCACAAATATCTTAAAACAAATACAAATCTCCACAACATTATAAATACTCAAAAAACTTTACAAATATCTCAAAGTAATATTACAAACATTTTTCAAATCCTCTTCATCTCCTAAATCTGGCCAACATCCTGCCAAAAAACATATTAAGCTTTTAACCTTAATAAATATGGAATGGTTGTTGTGATAAAAAAATAAAAACAAACACATAAGATTGAGAAGAAGAGTTAGGTTTTATGACTCACACCAAGATCCACAATCACATTTGAACATTGCATCGACACATCCTCTTCATTTTTGTTCAAAGTCGGATTTATAACATCATATACTAGCTCTTCCAATTGCACTTGTGAATTTTCTAAATGACAATAAGGAAAGCATATAAATAAGAATTCAATATTTGTAAAAATAGTTAAATATCGCAATCATCACAAATTATATTTATTACCTTTTTCTACACATAACAAATCCCTAGTACACATTAGAGCCTTCACAACGTGAGGCCTTAAAGCACTACGATATTGGTCAAGAACCCGACCACCAATACTACAAGTTGATTCTTAAGCAACCGTAGAAACTGGAATAGTTAACACATCACAAGCCATAATAGCAAGTTTCGGATAACGATACTGATGAGCTCTCCGATAATCAAGAACAAGAAGTTCTATTTCTATGTCAGCCCTAGGCTCATCCAAATACAATTACAATTGACTTTTTTGTGTTTTAAGACCAAATACATTGCTCTCAATGACAAATGCCTACATTATCAAAATCAAAGACTTTCAAGTCATAGACTATCAATAGTATTAATCTAATACAATAAAAACTATAAAACAAAAAATTAAATACCTTCAAATCTAACATAGGTTGTGGGTTCAAGATTAGCTCACAAGCAACTAGACCACCATGGGAAACAGTTGATGATTGAGAAGAAGAGGTGACAACAGATTTGCTTATATACTCATCAAATATAAAAAAAAGTTTGTCTCGAACATGAAAATACTCAAAAGAGCCTTCACCATAAAGCTTCTTATAGCACCACTCCACAAAGTCAAGTTTATAGCGAGGATCAAACACAATTGCAATGGCCAATATCACGTTATACTTCAATCAATACTTCTCAAATTTTTCATACATTTGACAAGACATTTTTCTCATAAAAGTATCCAAACTTTGCATTTCTCTATTCAAAGTCAATTGAATACTGAAAACTTGCTGAAAGTACAAACTTGATGTGGGGTACTTGTAGCCAAAAAAGATAACAGTAATATCATAGAAATTTTTTAAAAACATCTGAATCTTTTCAACTTTGATTCATTCCTCTTGAGATGGGCAATGCTTAAATTAGAATCCACAAGTTGCAAATGACAAAAGGCACGATGGTAGTAAATTGCACTTGCAAGCATCAAATATATTGAGTTCCATCTAATAGGAACATCTTGCCTCAAACTTTTTTTGTTATCTAAAGATGTTTGTGCAACACACTCTAAGAATTTTTGTTTTCTTGCCTGAGAACCTTTTACATACTTGACACTCTCTGACTTTTTCCACAGCTAAATCTATTTCTTTCAAACCCTCTTGCACAATCAAGTTTAGAATATGAGCATAATAACGAATATGAAAAAATTCACCATCACCAAGCAAAGCATCTATCAAATTAAGTTGATTTTTAAGCATATCAACCATGACATCATTTGCAGAAGCATTATCCAAAGTAATTGAAAACAACTTTTTCTCAAACCCTCATTTTGTCAACAAACCATAAATCTTGTGAGTCAGTGCAATGCCACTATGTGGAGGAGGCATGTAAGAGAAATTTAGAATTCTTTTTTTGCAATACTCAATTTTTGTTGATGAAATGTAATATGAGACTTCAATATCCGTTGATAGCAATAGATGTCCACAAATCAAAAGTCAAACTAATCCTGCCAGGTATGTCATGCAAGATAACAAACAACCTACGCATCTTTTTTGCATGCAATTTCACATCTGGATTTAAGTAGCTAAAGATTTGTCTAACACATTCATACTCAACGAATTGAAAGGGTAGATCATGTCTAATTATTGCACGTATTAACATCTCTCAAAATTTTTCCTCATTAAACTTCAAAGACTGTGTAGTAATAGACTCTTAACTTTGACTTAAAATCATCTAGCCCACATCACGTTCTTTCAAACAAGTCTTTAAATGACGCCATAAATTACCAATTCCATAGTTACTAGCAGCGTTATACTCAATCTTACATTTGTTGCATTCTGCCTTTGTAACGTTGTCTTGATTTACATATTTTCTAAAAAACCCTCATACCTCTAATGTGAAGTATATTGTCGCTTTTCATCATCCGTATTATCTCCACTTTCTGTATTTGGGGTAGCATTGGATGTATTTTCAGTATTGACATCCATAGTCGGTGGAATACATGATATATCCTCCATTTTCTTGGCAAGATTATCTGACAATTAGAAACCTAATGAACGTTCAAAAAATTCAAAAGTAACTTGAAGCTAATATTTCATTGCTCGGAAGGAATTTCAATTTTATTTCTGATATTTTAGTTTTTTTTTCCTAAAAGAAAAATATGGAAGACATTTCTTGAAAGGAATGAATGATCAGTGAGTATATATATTCCCAGGAACAATAAGGCCCCCAAGAGAACTTACAGGCTTAGAATTTAGTACACTTTTGTTTTAGATTTAAGGACATTTCAAAATAGAACTCCCACTCAAAAGCCAGAACTCACCATCCCTCCCCTAGAACACAAAAAAAGCTAGAAAAATAAAAACCTCAAAAGTTTTTGCGTGTGACATAACTACCCCTCTCGAGATAGCATATGTATGGCAACAGACTCATTGATTTAAACGGTCAAAATAGGGTAGGGTCTCCATCTTTCAAAACAAACATTCCATATAGTTAGAGAGACACCAAAACCAACTAATTACATTGTGAAGCTTGCTGCGTTTAGGACAATGTGCCTAGGATTAAAAATCAACGATAAATGTCAGATTGAAGAATTGACTTCTTTTTCTTTATGTCCCTCTTTAGCTTCGTCGGAATCAAATGTAGGGTCATACTGGGACAATCACGATCCATATAATTATAAAGTATAAACTAAATACACAATGCTCACACATATTGAAAAACAAAAAAAAATTACAAAAAAAAGACATCACGAAAAGTAGCCGAAACTTGGATCCACCCCAATACTAAATTTCTTCAATCACCCAAATCGAACTGCAACACCTTCCTTCACCCTTTATTCAGGTTCACGGAACACCATGAATCCAAGAGTGTACTAATGGTATTCAAGCGGATTTCCACAAGTAGAGTCAATAGATTAAGATCGAAGGAACTAACAAGCCTAGTACATAGAGACTCCGAGTCATCAACAAACGACTTCCAAATCTAAGCAAATCTGATCATAAGA